CACTTTGGCTTTAAGTTATGAATGCTCCCTGACCTTTTTATAAATCTGCAAGATCTGGGGCACCTCACCCAACTCAATTCTCAATTGGCTGCTCAATTTGGGAGTATGATGTAAGAGGAATTTATTTTCAGTTCGACTTCTGCTCTACAGAGTCATGCATGCCGATTAAGAATGACAAAACTAAAAGAGGTGCATGTTGCAGAAAAGGTCGTGCTCTCACTCACCCTTCCTGTGCTCCTACCTAGAAAGGAGACTTGTTGGCAGCATCTTGGCATTGATCGAGTCGATGACCAGCGATTCTTTGCAGACAAACTCCAGCACATCAGCGCTGATGTTGCTCCCTGATCTCCCTGTAAGAGAAAATGGGACAGAAACAAAAGTTTGGAGGATTTCGACTATGTGGAACAAGCTTATTTTAGGTCATTTTCAGCATTAGGAACAAAATGTCTTTTCTGGAAACAGAATAGAGAATAAACAGAGAAAGAAAGTGACGGCAGAGAAGAAACAGTGATATATCAGAATGTAAAGGTTGCTGGTTGATGTGTGTTATACTATAGAGCTCTCATAGTTTGTTAGTCCACATGGCAGCTGTGTATGTGTGCTGAATAACAGAGCAGAGTATCCACTCAGACGGGTGTACGGCGAGAGGTGCCTGAGAGTTCATGTCTGACCAAATTAATGAGAATATGATCCTCCTTCATGGTGCTGCGCCTCAGATGTGAAAGGGAGAGTGGGGATTCACACGCAGAGTCTCAGGGGGAGGTATCAGAGAGTTCAATAACACATCACCAGCCATGTTTAACGTCCCATGTGAAACAAAGGTCTCTCGATAAATGTGTGACCCTTCTACTGTCTCAATGTCAGTTTATGTCATCTGAGATTTTATAGAAATTACTTATTTAAAAAGGGGGGATAACTATGCTTTGTTTAAATGTACACTGGAGAGACAGAGGTGGGAATAGAGGGGAGATATAGAGGGGAAAAGGATGGGCGCACTCAGGCAAAGACATTTGTTTGTAAAAATTGCACCACTTATTGAAGAGGGAGTCTTAAAACCAGCGGAGAGAGTGTCAGACTGATAGAGGAATGCTGTATGCTGAATGCTGGCCTTCATAGCGGAGCTTGGATTTGTGACATAGGAAATCTCACTGTATGTGAGTCTGCCGTTCTGGTCCAATCTCTCAAGTAATTGATAGAATATTTGGTAGAATACTTGATTACTTAAATATTCGATATCAACATCGGGTGTGTAACACAGGAAACTTACAGGCTATCCGCTAAAAAAAGAGTCTGGTTTGTTTAGACACAGGTGGAGGTGAAAAGCATGAACTTGTGTCCATGCGGGAGCACAAGTGTTTGACCCCCGTTAATGTTCGCGGCAAAAGTACAACATCAATGTTGACAAGAGGCAGACATGCTTGAAAACAGACTGGATTGATGCATTATTCATGGGAACATCAAATCTTTGGCTTCTAACAACTGATCCACCAGACAGAGAGTTTGACCTTCAGACGTCACTTTAGTGAAAAAACAACAACTCATCCCCAAAACAACACCTGCTTCTTTCTTTTTCTAGCTTTTACGGGAAAAAAAAAAACACTCGCCCTTTTTCTTCCTGAAAAAACAAAACAAAAATGGAAAACACGCTCAGGGCAAACTGTGCTATTGAAGGTCGCGGTACACAACACGTTGTATAATATGGTGTAACAGCTCCATGGGGCGTTACAGTCGCGTCGGGTCGAAGGCTCTTGTTTTTCGGCGTCTTAATGAGGCGCCACGACGGGGAGCTATGAGGGAAAAATCAGCATGACACAAGCAGCTCGTTCTGCAGCCTCATAAGTGATAACCCACCCTGCAGCTCGGCTCGGTCTATCAGGAACGCCACTACGAGGAAACACTAAGAGATTCAAATAGAGAGCTACGGATGCAGTAATATGGATGATTACAGAAGGAGCCAGCTCTCAAACTAACAGATTTCACACAGACCGCAGGATTCACGGTAAACATCTACTTGTCACAAAGCAGCACAGTCTGTTTTCTTTCTTTAAACTTGTCTGGATGAGTCTAACAGCATTCACTTGTTGTCATGAGTAACAAGCAAGGTCAGAACACGTAGAGTGCTTTCACCATTAGCGGCACTGATGTATCTCCGCGGTTTGTCATGTCGGGGATGGCTATGGCTCTTAACGCAGACTGGCAGCCGTTTGAGTGCGTGTGGAGTGGAGGGCAAAGCGAAAATGACAACTCCTTTGCAAATGCCACGCAGCCGTTCTGATTTCGTTCGTAGGTGCAACTGAATAACATGCCGTGTGAACTATTGAACCAATATCCTCAATCAGAATGAAGACAGATTGTCCCTGTAAACACAGCTTTTCAGACTTGTGATTTTTTTAGCGACATGCATAAGCGGTAATATAAAGGAGTTTGTGTTTATCACCCTGACAAAGAGATCCGAGTTCACTCGGGTCTCAGAGCAGAGATTTAATTCACCCACATTTACATTCTGCCTCTGTTTGGAGTAAATATGCTCTCATTTAATGCCTTTTTTTCTCCCGATTGACACGGTGAGATCAGCTCTGAACTCATTCAGCGGATGAAATTATACTGAATACAAACACATATAAATAAAGTGTGACTCAGAGGAGAGCGTTTATAAAAGCCTTTCCTCTGAGCAGTGCATCCTTCAGAGTTTTGCATCAAAGAATCGATGAGCAGGAGGAAAATGAGTCTCGACTTCTGTCTCTCGAGTTTGTCTTGACTTCCATTCATCCCTTACTCTCTCCACCTTTGCTGCCTGTCAATTGGCCACCTATCTGATTATTGCTCAGGTATGAGCTGTGGATAAACATCAATGAATCTCCAGCAACCGATACGCCTTTCACCTCCAATCACCACAATCTGGACCATTTATTTGCCCCGAGAATAGGAAAAGTGAGGGGGGTAGATCGAAAACTCAGCCTGTCTGCAAACAATGGCCGCCTCCCTCTGAGCAGACACACCTGAATGCCTGATATAAAGTATACTTCTGGCCCCCCAGAAAACCCCACCCATACCGAGGACCATGAAACTGCTCATGGCGCCCCCATTCTTCGAGTACAATACTGAGAGTATTGAGACGTCTCGATACTCTTAAAAGAGAAGCTCTTGCGGGAAGTCGACACGGATGTTGGAAAGATTTCGCAGGAGTACAAAGACGTTACTATCTGAGATTTTTGTGTGATAACTTTGAAGGACCTTATGAGCTGCAAATCTTAAAATGAATAATTCTAGCGTAGTGTCTCTGTAAATGGCTCTCCCTGATTGGTCGATTTGGCACACAGGGGAATAAAAACAGGGTCGACTCTGCTGTTCAGCCTAGTAACTCTGCCATAAAACATCTGAGCGCTGGGGCCAATGAGGTCCTCGGGTGTGGTTTCCAGTAACCAATAAGAACACACCATGTAATCCATTAATATGTGACCCAGTAGGTCCTCTCACTGTGCTGTGATTGGCTGCTGTAGGAAGGCGAGGCAGCACCCCATTGGCTGCTTGGTTTGGAGTAATTTTGCGTCATTGTAAAACCTTTTTTTTTATGTGAAGAAGAGAAACGACAGCATGATCTTTTAGTGTTCTCTGTACTTCTTTATAGCTACAGTGTGCAAAGTAATGAAAGGACAAGGATGATTTCCTAAAAACGACTAAAAATGTCCTGAATGTACTAGATAAAAACAGGAGACAAAGCCCCCTGAGATTTAAAATAATTCATGTAGGACAACATATTGGCTTTTCAGGAGTTTTATTTAATGGACTAAGAATTTTTTTAAAATATTTGTTAAAATCAAACAATAAACTAGCAAAAGTAACTGTTAAAATAACACATACAATATTTAATTCTTAATTCTTTTATAGCAAATAGAGCAATAAAAAATAGTGTGTATATTTTCAGGAGCTCTATCATTTTTCCATTTTTAATGAAGAACTGACCTTTAAATTAGTTTTAATTTAATAATAGAAATTTAATAATTTGATGAGTTTATTTCGGTCTGATTTCTGTCACTTTGTTCTGTGTGAAACATTTTAAGGTTACCAGTTTATTGAAAGCTGCTTCATAAAACAGTTTAAAGAGTAAAAAATAGCAAAATTGTAATTTGTCGGTTAGACTAAGTATAAATATAGCAAAAATTACTTCTAATCTTTGGTGATCCACTCACATCTGCCACTTTTATCATTCACTGGTTACTCAATTCTCTGATTAATCCTGTCTGTTGTGTTTCTTCAGCACAAATAAATACATAATCCTCTGCTTCGAGTTTTGATCAAATTAGATCAAATCTTTTGAAATATAAAAATAAAATCCTGTTTGGTTTAATTACACTTTTATTTTTAACAACATATTTCCTCATAGAGATTTTAAATGTTTCTCTGAAATCATTTTATTTCAAATATATATTATTTGGCATTAAGTTTGCTTCAGAGTTGTTCATGTGATTCAATTATAATAAAATTAAGAATTAATTAAAAACATACAAAATTCTTTTTAGTCTCTGAACTCTAAAATCTCTTTAATGGGAAAAAAATGCAAAAATAAATACTGTAAAAAATTCCTTATGTTAAACTTAGTTGATTGTCTACAGTGCATGAATATGAAAAATATGGTTATTTATGCTTAGTAATTCTAATATGTAGATTCAGAAGAGTAATAAATATGATAATAGTAACTAAAAAAAAAGCCAGAATAAAAAATTAAAAAATATTTTTTTTCCAACGTCTAACTATATGTCTTTTTTAAAACAATTGTTGGATTTTTTTTTCCTAACTTTGGTTCAGTATTGGTTGGAAATTATTTAGTTTAACATTACAATTTGTTGTTTTTTTAAGTGCTTTATTCAGTTTTATTTTTTTTATACGTGCAGTTATTCTAAATATATATAAACCTAAAACAATCAAAACATATCTGCAGAACCTTCATTTCTGTAAACATCTCAAAAGCCTGAGTCTTTCCAGTAAATCAGCTCATCCAGATGTTTGAAGTCCTGAAGACTCCTCCTGTCGCTCTGCCTTTATTTCAGTCCACAAGGCTGCATTTGCACCATACTGCCTCTGGGCTGTATAAAGGTTATATAAAGCTACTGCTGCTTTACTACCAGGGGAGAGAACAGGGGACAAACAGAGGAGAACCTGTGCCCCTCAAAGATGCCATCCAGGCCTTTGTTGCCATCTCCAATCAACATGCAGGAAAAGCTCCTGGAGGAGCAGAAAGTACAGCTCTGCTCTGTCCAGTCTACGCTCCGAGTCAAAGTTCAGGTGTGTATAAACACGCAGACACACATGCAAGCAAAAAGTGGCACTACAACAACAAAGTAAAAGAGCAGACTGAGAGGAGGTAGAGCCAAAACAAATAGAGCACCTGGAGTGTCCATTGGTTTGCTGCTGCGGTGTGACAGGATGTCATGCAGTGTTCTTTTCTTCTTTTCTAAGGCCTGCAGGTTTTACACCACTCTCACACCACAGGCCAACTTCAGCCTTAATTAATATTTGTTTTGAAAAAGTTTGTGGACTGAACCCTCATCAAAAATTAGCAAAGGCTCTGCTGAGACATTCTGCAGGACATCACTGTCACACTCGGGGCCAGAGTTTATTTGTTTTCTACCAGTTAGCGTTATATTGTGCAGAGGGACACACATGCATATGCAGGAGCAAAATGCACATGCTTGAGTACCTACAATGTAAACGCAGCACAAACACACAACTCTAGGCAACACTATGTCACAAGAGAGTTACAATTACTGTATCTGACAGAAGTTTTTGTTTGTATACATAACTAGTTGTATGCTCTGAGGGGGTTTGTTTAGAACTGAGTGGGTGGTTAATTAAGAAAAGCTATTTACAGTGTAATGAAAATGACTGAAATGGTCTGAGTTCTGCAGTATAATAACGCCCCGCAGATAAACAAGGCTAATTAAGAAATCAATCAAATGGACGGAGGTCTTGTGTGTTCAAAATTATGCAACCATTTCTGAGAACATTAGTGCAAACCGTGTTGTGTTTGGACCACCATTATTGAGCTCTATTTCAGTGTTAAGTTGTATACACGGCCACCTAATGGTACACACACATAAGCACCACTGAGCCTTGTTCAGTGCAAAACAAATGGGACCCTTTTTCTCTTTGGTTCCCTTCAGCACACACTGAACAATCTTCAGCCTCGTATCGCCATGACAACAAATATCAAACATGCCTCTGGGTCAGGTTACCCTGTCCATACTGAGCATGTCTGAGTGTGTCACTGCCGTAACATCGATGATTCAGATGTTATTTGCTAAAAAGGTTGAGATGACTCCCATTCTAGTATTTGCTGTGTTTCACCTTCTTGTTCGGCGAAGGATAAGGTACGGACTGTTTTCATCAGCAGATTTATTCCAAAGGGATCATACCAAATCCAATTTTCAGCGTGAAATTGTTTCCTGAGAGGGAGAAAAACCAAAAACTTCACAAGCAACAGCATAAACTTTTTTTTTAGGATGATGAATTCTGGTTTTACCTCCTCCTAACTGTGAGGGTGTAGTTTAGAGGAATCAAAGCTTATAGTGTTTGAACAGCTTATGAAAATGAAGTGTATGCCTCTTTAAAACGTCTGCTCAACAGGTTTATCTATCTGCATATCTGAAGAGCAAAAATACCCAAATTAAACACAGTACACACTCCTTCTCCTCCTACTTATTATAAGATTAAAGACCAACACACTCTGCTGCTGTTGCATTTATCATTAAATGATCTCATTCTAGATAATTCAGCATCTAAGCTGTTTTTCTCTTCAAACCTGCAGCACTTGCAGCATTTGACTTTTGCACTTGTTTTCTACTTTGACTCTCATCACTTGTATATCTGCGGGGGATTCTTGGTGTTGTTGCACGTTTCTTCAGCATGTGTTTTTAAATATGCATCAGTGGAGTATATGCAGTACATTTTTCTGAGTGTTGCCCTTGTTGCCGACAGTGAGCTTGTTGTTTTCCAAGCACAAACTGTACTAGCATTTCTTTGAGGCTAAAATTTCAACCTTTATCACTTTCTTTAAGCATTTCTTTGCATGTAGGCTAAACACCTGAAAAGCTCCAACTCTAAACACACGCTGTAAAGTTTAGCTTTGGGTGAAGAGAGGAGATTTAAGATTGGACAGAACTGAGGAAGGATGCAGGGATGGATGCACGGGTGTAATTCGTGACTTTACGCTATAGCAAACCGATACACATCGGGCACTCGGGCGCTTTTTGTGTGTGATTGGCTATCCCTGCTGTCAGTAATTCCATGCCCGTCGGACTAGTGTTTTGCAAGTTGCTCGTAAGAGTCAGTCGGTGAACATCGCTATTCGCCAATGTTATTTTACAGGAGGGCGGCGTTCATTTTCCCTCCGTAACGTAACATTCATCAGAGGTTTCATTTACATGCCTGTATCAGGTTTGTACTTCCATCCACCCACTGGCTGTATTGCCTCCTCTAACAGTACTCAAGTCACATGTGTATGCATGGATGCAGCGCCCTCTCTGGTGTGGCAGAGATCTCCCAGCTGCTCCATCATGTCTAAAATCACGCACATGAGCTCAGGCGGTCAGGTTTCTGGTCCTGCCTCTTAGCTTTATCTTGAAAATCTGAGTGATTAATGAAGGTGGCAGAGCGCGGAGGAGGTGGATGAAGAATAATTAATCTTAATGAGATATCTGCTGCCCCTGTTTTTACTGTGGGGGGATATGATGTATATTTAATGTATGGAGCCCCTGGTGGGGCGCCTCTTATTTAAAACATGATAATGAGGGAGAGAAAAAAGGAAGGTGAGTATCTTTGCTTACTGATTTACATGACCTCACATTTCCCTTTCATTTCTTGTTTTACCAACCTCTGAAAGAATTGAAGCTGAACTTCAAGATTAACGGACACTGTGAGGAAAATGTTCAGCTTCATCGATAGACTCCATTCTGTGCTGTCCTATATTGAGAAGTTAGAGGCAGTAGTATTTATATAAATGTCCCATGTGAAGAGCAAGGATATGGGTGTGGTACTGCACATTTTCATTTGAGAAACAACCGTAATATAACGTGGCCAGAGTGGCTGGAATCAACATTAAACTTCTGCTTTGAATCAAGCTGACAACTGCTCAAGAGTAAGAGAGACAGGACAAAAAAAATCCATCTAAAAATCTGTGCATTTCTTATTCCAGCACACTTCTGATTAGGCCTCAAAATAACCAAATTCTACTTTTTAATCCCGATGTAGCTTAAAGATAATCTGGCATCATAAAATTACAAGGTCTCTCATTAATCTATGACTGCTTATTGTGCAAATGTTGATCCTAGTCATCATATTCGGAATTAAGCTCTGTTTGCACGATGGTTGACACTCCTGGAAGTCACCACACCACTGCTCTTCTAAATGGCACATTCCAGCTTGTAAACAGATGGCTCTCTCAACATGTCAGAAGTTATACGCACTATGTATGAGGCGAACTAAAAACATCAAAGTTTGGTGCCCCCATTAGACAAAGTGGAGAAAAACGATTGAGGAAGACTTTGAAAAACACAGTGTTTTCATTGCTGAATCCAACAATCACATTGTCTCCCCTTCTCCACTATGGTCTTTTGTAAATATTTGAATTCCCACAAGACTTAAATAAGCTTCTTAGGTCTGTTAATTTAATGCATTTTTACATGGCCATCTTTAATGGAAGAGGACAGCCCCATTCAACACAGAATAAGCCCTCATTTGATAAGACTAGACCAAGCAGATGAGTCTGTCCAATTATCCATTTCCAATTCTACCTGCAGTCTCATTTCTATGTATCACAGGCAGCTCCCACAATAATTGCTTTTCTGCAATCCGGAGTTCATTTGCACACATTTTATTGATCAAAATGAGTCAGGAAAAGAAAACAGTTTAAACTAAATTAAAAGCTTCATTAAATGTGAAAATTAGTCAGGGAATTGCAGACATCTGTTTCAGGGCCCTGCATCATAAACTCCCAAGGTTAAAGCAGACACTGTGTTACGGCTCACAGACTCAGGTAGGATTCCCGGCTCCAAAAGCACCTTCACAGCGAGTCAACAAGGCTTCAAATGATCGAGAGAGAAAAGCAAAGGGCAGAGACCAATCCAACAGCCCAACAGTTCAGATGCTGACGTTGTGAAGTACATCAAAACAGCGTGTCCTTCTCTCGAAAGAGTCTGTCTTACTGTAGCAGAATCAGAGGTTGTTATAGGTCCATCTTTGTTCCTTAGACCTTGGAGCGGCTTTGAAAAGAATTGGCCCTGCTTGTTTTGAGTGTTTGTTGTCTTGTTTATGACTGTTGGCAACTGAAACTGCTCTGGTACACAGACAGCGAAAGCAGGGACTGTTTTCATTCCAGCGCAGCCTCACATAAAGGGAGGTCACAGGGAACAGAGGGCTTAGAGTGCACTGATTTAATACCTCACAGCTCTCTGGTTGGATTCTCATCTGAGCTCGGGTTTTTGTCAGAACAGATCTGCTTTGATTCAACTTTTCAAAGGGCGTCATGAAAGGTTACCTATCTGGAACAAAGTATGTCCACTTATGAGGAGTGCATCTGTCATGCTTACCTTTAGGATGACATGAGTTGCCAAACTTGTAAACTTGCATTAGGAGCATCCTGATTGGCTGCAGGTGAGGGTGAGGCCTGTGCTGCTGCCCGTCCCATTGGTCAGAATATGTGGCGTGGGGATGCATGAGGCCAGGACGAGAGGTTAAGTGGCTGTTGTTGATCGCACTGGGAGGGTCTGGATGAACCAGATGGTTGGCTTGAGCAGAGAGGTGTGGAGACTGACTGGGGTGGAGTCAGCAAGTAGCAGTGGAGCCCAGGTTGAACCTATGGAGAAAAAATCAGAACACAAACATGAAAATTAAATGAAAGCATAAATGTTGTAGCCGCCTTTTTGATTCGTATAACAATCTCACTTCACTTACACACTCTCAGCCAATCATTTCTCTACCCTGAGGTGTTCGATGGCGAGGAAGAGGCTCCCTGTATTTGGCCTGCGTACATCCTCCCTCATCCACTTCTACTCCATCATCTTTATCATCCCCTGCCAGGGTCCAAGCTCCAAAAATAGCCCACCAGTCTGCCAAAAGGGGCCAAAGGCTAAATCACAGCATGGAAAAAAGTTAAACAGAAAAAAATGAGCCCCAATTATTCATGATAATAGCTAAAATCGTACTGGTAGTGAATGATGGAGAGGGAAAGAAAAAGAGCTAGAAGAAAAGAGGATGGGTACCTTCTTGATCAAGCATCCTGGCACCACTGTTGGTGTTTTTGTGACTCTCACACTATCTCAAAAGAGTTGCATTCACTAAGTCATTGCCTTTGCATCAGCCGCTCTGCCTAATCTCCATGTCTGTCTCTATTATCCTTATCAGTGAGAGTCAGTATCAGTCAGTATGAGACACTTTTGTGATGAGCGAGAGCCAGAGGCCAGCAGAGCAATGAAGGAAAATTACCAGCTGTAAGGCAGAGTCAGTCTGGGTGAGTTCATTATAATCAGAGTAAAAACTACAACATTAGATTAATCTGACAGTGTGTGCTGCAGACACGCTTCTGCTCTCTTTTCAGGGGCCTGAATAGATTGAGGTCAACATCTAAATCAGACCTTGGCGATCATGGGGGAGACTTTGCCGCAAAACTTTCATACTGACTGAATCCGCTTCAGATTGCACCAACAAAACGTCAACAAGGACCATAAAACTGAGGCAGGGAGAGTTCGCATGATCTAAATGTGTCATGCACATGCTTACTTTCTCACAGTTTAGTTGTGGCAATGAAGTGCATCACTGTATATATATAATACTGTAATCTCAATGTGTATGATTTATTACCACTGGGCTCCCTGCGGTTCATCTGTATCCCAAGGTGTGAGCTGGTTAATGGGCGTCTGTCCCCACCTCACCCCTGGAGCCAGCAGCGGTCCTGAGGTCTCGATGTTTCCTGCAGACACTCCTGAGACCCGCAGGGCATAAAAGAAAAACAAAATCACAAATTATGCTATCATGAGGATAAACAAAAACCAGGAAACAAGTGGAAGAACTAGAAAATATAGTATACTGCGAGTGCAGAATTTGACCCTTAAAACACACACTCAAAAGTGCAACAGTAATAATCTGAATATATTTCTTGGTCTGTTGTACTTCATTTGAACTTTATTGCCACACATAAAAAAACTGTGAAGAAAGCAGCATTTTTCATGACCTCCACTGCCATCATTTTATTCAAGTGATGAAACAAAATGTCTTAAATCAGCTGACAGCTTCTAAAGTTTCTTATGAAACCCACAGAAACACTCAAAAGAATGAACACAATGTCAATTTCAAATCAACAAGCTAGAAATTTTGCAATAAAATGTACAAAAGTATGACAGCTCATGGTTTAAAAATGGAAAAACACTCATTTTTATTTGTTTAATACCTTTTGCAATAGATCAAACATCGAAAAGTGAAGTTTTTTTGAATAATAGTATGTACTCATATATACTTGTCCTCATTTGGAGACCCAGCAGTCAGTGGGTCTTAATGGTGATACATCTTGTACCTACAGTCTAGGAGAGAGAATCTAAGCTGAACATTTTGTAGTCCCAGGCTACTTTGTTGGTCCCTCTGAGGTGAACAATGTTACAAAAGACTATATGAAAGTTTTAGTAACAGGTTAGGGTAAAGTAAAAGGAGTACTGTTTTAAAAGGAAAAACTTATTTTGAACTACAAAAAAAGAAAAACAAAGTGGAGGGCCGCGGGAAAGTTCACTCACAGACACGTAGAGCAGGTTAGTAATAAAGGGACAGAGGAAATAACGTCCAGCTCCACAGCCAGCCACTGTCTCAGGAGGTGCATAAATCGGAGTCTTATAAAATCTCTAATCACAGCAGCACTGTATTACTAAACTGTCTGCAACCAAAAAAAACAAAACAAAAACGATTTCCCTTTGTGATTCTATTCAACAAACGAGGGTCAGTCTGTGTGACTCTGCCCTCCTGTGAGCCCAGCAGGGAGTCTGCGGTGCGCTCTGTTTGGGGTAAGAAGTACACCGGGGAAACACGCTGGGATCGTTAGACGCAGAGGATTCTCAAAGAAAGTGAGAAACAACCCCGAAGTCTACTCCAGCAGGTGGATTAACAAAGCTTTTGCTTAATTGTGAGGTTTTTTTTCTCTCTCTCACTTTTTCATTGTTTTTGTTGATTCTGGCGCCCCCTGTGGACAAAGTCTGAAACCTTTAATTTTTTGTGAATTGGCCTTTTCAAATTTAAAGTTGTGTTTGTTAACAAAAACTATCATGTTGTCTTTTTTGAGGTGTAATTTATTACTCTTGATTTGTCAAAAATAACAGATAAATATGACCTAAAGTGATTAAAAAGGACATTTTCTGATTCTGAATTTGTAAATATACCAATCGCAGTCGTTGCAGAGAGAAAAAATATGTTCACAGAGCAATATTTATGCAAATCATCCGCTGTTTTGTCACTGCAAATAAAGATTTACTTGAAAAATATGCCACTGATCTGTAGCAGACTACGTACTTAAAACTGTCATCCGGTAATGTAATCCAGCAGATGAATCAAATCCAATCATAATCTGATAGCTTTCATTTTATTTATCTTTGTTTTTTTCCTTCAGACTCAATGAAATATTAGACTGAACAGGCAATTTGTTCCTTTTGAGGAAGACTAATTAGAGCTGTGATGTTCTCCTCCTCTTCAAACAGTTTAAACTGTTATTTCCCAGAAGTATCTCATCTGATTACAGCTGTGGTACAGTCAGCGGTGTTGTTATTAGAGCAGAAATACAAAAACCCTCTATGTTGAAATGAAGAAGCCTTTAACACAATTACAACTTCAAGAACTTCAACAAAGTCCAGTTAAGTTTTGGGTTAAATCTAACAGAGCAACTGCGAAACAGCGGTATGGTGTGTTCATTGGTTATGGTGATAAATTTGGATGTATGATGATGTGTGGAGCCCTAATGAGAAAGGCTAAGCTCAGGGTAATTTGTTAGCCTGACTACAAAATAATGTATGATTAAGCCACCCCCAAAGTCCCTGATAGAATTTGCATTTAAAATAAACCTGTTATTTATGAGTGTGTTATTAAAATGACTGGCTGTGAATCCCATGAGTGCAGCACACAGGGAGGGCAGACAGAAACTGGAGCACAATAGTTGGGACTGCCAACCAAAACGGACAGAGGGAAGAGATTAAAACTGACTCTGGTTAGAGAAAACTTCTGTCATAATGATTGACTAACTTCTAAACTTTAAGAAAGCAACACATTCATCACCTTCAATTGATATTAATATGTAGCTCAAAGCTAGAATCTGAATCAAATATCGAGATTTTTTGAATACTAACATTGGTTCAAAGAAAGAGCTCTGAGTTTAGCATCAGGTTTTTCTCTTTGAGCTCCAGTAAGATCAGATTTTGTCCTGGTTGAGCTGTAAAAGGTCCTCTGCCATCCATGACTTGATATCTAAAATACAGTTAAATTGTCCCGAGGTCATCTGGAGACACAGTAATATAAAGCTGTGTGTCATCTGCATAGCCATGAAACTTGATGTCATGACTTCTCATGATATTTCCAAGCAGTGATATATAAAAGGTTAAAAAGCATAGGACCTAAAGTTGACCCCTGAGGGACACCACTATTAATTTTATACTGTCAAAGGTTGAAGGGCAAAGTAAGAGGTTTGTACAAAAGAGGATTAGGGCCACATTACAGGAGAGAGATTTTTTGATTTCCAGATCGAGATGAAAGTCGAAACTTAAAAAAGTCACAATTTTGAATTAATTCATGTTGACTTTAATCTCAAAATTTCAACTTTAATCCCCAAATTTTCATTTTTTTAATCTCGAAATTTCGGCATTATTCACTATATTTCAACTTTTTGTAATCTCAAAATTTTCGACTTCAATCTCAAAATTTCAAATTCAGTTTCGTAATCTCAAAATTTAAACTGTAATCTTGAAATTTTGACCGTATTCTCCTTCCTGTAATTATTTTTTTCCCTTCATGTGGCCCTCCCCTCATTCTCTTTCTTAGGTTTGGCTAGGCTTTGGAGCTCAACGGAGATGGATCCTTAACGCTCATCCTCACTCATACTCCACGTGACATGACAACCTGCATCCACCACCACCTTTCATACAGAGTTAACCTTGAGATGGTAGCCCTCTGAATCCAGACCCTCGTCCATGCAGTGGGACAGGATAGACAGAGGAAAAGTAAAGAGGAGGATGAGGATGTTGGGTTCTTCCTCCATCAGAGGAAATCCAAATGATGTCGAATCAGCTGGGCTCAGCAGGCGCTCATTTAACACTTGAAGAGGGATCTGAGTAACAAGCGTGGGTCTTTAAGAGCTACAGATCTGATCTGCTCGATTGATGATGTGCTCAGTGAACTTGAACTGAAGAGCAAAAAGTCTTCTTTTGCTTCACTGGATTCCTTTCAACTTGAATAAGTTTTTAAACACCAACAGAAATTAGTGCTGCTTGACTTCACCTTTAATATCTGTACTTCTCATACGCTTAAATCTTAAAATGCATTAAAAACTCTGCATGCCAAATGTGATTAGTCAATAGAAGTAAGACTGCAGCCATGCAGAGCGATGCAAATCTTGTCTTCTCTGTACAGACTATATGCATGTATGTGTATTTTAAAGGATGATTTTACACAAACTAGTCCCACTTTCCCCTTGTTTTGAAAGCAGAGACTTAACTCATCTACTGTTCAGTCCAGTGGTGTTAAATAGACATGAGGTAAATCTGTGTGAAGTGTCACTCTCCCCTGTAATGAAACCTCTCACCCCTGTCGAAGAACGTGAAGGTGTGAGGTGCAGAGGTGGCGGTGAAGACAGATGATAAAAGCAAATCTGAGATGACAGGCGCTTCAAATCACTTCAGGATCAACAATGACTCCTTCACACTCGGGTGAGAGGCCTTGTACACTTTCGTTTGTCACTCAGCCGTGTGTCCTTCTTCATGTTATCATGAAATTCGCTGAAAGCATTTCCAGTTTTTTCACGAGATGAGAATGTCAGTGTCCTCTAACAGCTGTCCCACATCACATCATGTGGCTGCCGCTATCCCGTATTACATCTCTGC